TATCAACATTACAAAGGACAGTAATATCAACATGACAAAGGACAGTAAGATAAACATGAAAAAGGACAGTAATATCAACATGACAAAGGACAGTAATATCAACATGACAAAGGACAGTAAGATAAACATGACAAAGGACAGTAAGTTAAACATGACAAAGGACAGTAAGTTAAACATGACAAAGGAAAGTAACATCAACATGACAAAGGCAGGAAGATAAACATGACAATGGACAGTAAGATAAACATGACAAAGGACAGTAAGATAAACATGACAATAGACAGTAAGATAAACATGACAAAGGACAGTAACATCAACATGACAATGGACAGTTAGATAAACATGACAATTGACAGTAAGATAAACATGACAAAGGACAGTAAGATAAACATGACAAAGGACAGTAATATCAACATGACAAAGGACAGTAAGATAAACATGACAAAGGACAGTAACATCAACATGACAAAGGACAGTAAGATAAACATGACAAAGGACAGTAAGATAAACATGACAATTGACAGTAAGATAAACATGACAAAAGACAGGAAGATAAACATGACAAAGGACAGTAATATCAACATGACAAAGGACAGTAAGATAAACATGACAAAGGACAGTAACATCAACATGACAAAGGACAGTAATATCAACATGACAAAGGACAGTAAGATAAACATGACAATAGACAGTAACATCAACATGACAAAGGACAGTAAGATAAACATGACAATGGACAGTAAGATAAACATAACAATGGACAGTAAGATAAACATGACAAAGGACAGTAAAATAAACACGACAAAGGACAGTAACATCAACATGAAAAAGGACAGTAAGATAAACATGACAAAGGACAGTAATATCAACATGACAAAGGACAGTAAGATAAACATGACAAAGGACAGTAACATCAACATGACAAAGGACAGTAAGATAAACATGACAAAGGACAGTAAGATAAACATGACAATTGACAGTAAGATAAACATGACAAAAGACAGGAAGATAAACATGACAAAGGACAGTAATATCAACATGACAAAGGACAGTAAGATAAACATGACAAAGGACAGTAACATCAACATGACAAAGGACAGTAATATCAACATGACAAAGGACAGTAAGATAAACATGACAATAGACAGTAACAACAACATGACAAAGGACAGTAAGATAAACATGACAAAGGACAGTAAGATAAACATGACAATTGACAGTAAGATAAACATGACAAAAGACAGGAAGATAAACATGACAAAGGACAGTAATATCAACATGACAAAGGACAGTAAGATAAACATGACAAAGGACAGTAACATCAACATGACAAAGGACAGTAACATCAACATGACAAAGGACAGTAAGATAAACATGACAAAGGACAGTAAGATAAACATGACAATTGACAGTGAGATAAACATGACAAAGGACAGTAAGATAAACATGACAATTGACAGTAAGATAAACATGACAAAAGACAGGAAGATAAACATGACAAAGGACAGTAATATCAACATGACAAAGGACAGTAAGATAAACATGACAAAGGACAGTAACATCAACATGACAAAGGACAGTAATATCAACATGACAAAGGACAGTAAGATAAACATGACAATAGACAGTAACATCAACATGACAAAGGACAGTAATATCAACATGACAAAGGACAGTAAGATAAACATGACAAAGGACAGTAACATCAACATGACAAAGGACAGTAAGATAAACATGACAATAGACAGTAACATCAACATGACAATGGACAGTTAGATAAACATGACAAAGGACAGTAAGATAAACATGACAATGGACAGTAAGATAAACATGACAAAGGACAGTAAGATAAACATGACAAAGGACAGTAAGATAAACATGACAAAGGACAGTAACATCAACATGACAAAGGACAGTAACATCAACATGACAAAGGACAGTAAGATAAACACGACAAAGGACAGTAAGTTAAACATGACAAAGGACAGTAATATCAACATTTTTGAAGTTGATGTGAATTGCATTTTCTATTTCCCGTTTTCTATGCCCCAGGAATATTTTAGGACAAATTATAATCTACAGGATTTTGGTCAGATAGATGTTATATGGCATGAGCCAAAAATATAACATAGTTTTCATTTTGTGTAGCTTCTCAACCGTTACATTAAATGTTTCATACGATGTAGATTACATGTGTACGCCTTTTCCGGCAAAGCAATATTACGACCAAACCCAGCCACTATCATATAATGTCAGGGCAATTCAAAGGTGTATTTAAACTAAATTCTCCCAAAAACTTTACCCAGTTTCAGCATATTTACAATGGCCGCCATTACATCAAAATGGAGTCATGGTTCTAAACCTACTTAAAATAAAATATTGCGAGATTGCCGGAAATGGTATGTTTACAACGAGATGTAGCAAACCTCAGTCTAATAACTAGGTGAATATGATATCAGCTTATTGATAAGACGATATTATTACTAAATACACCACTACTAGATTAATAATAGTTCGTTATAAAAAGGACAAGTTTTCACAATAAAGCATAAAAGCATATGGAAATGACAACAGTGCTAGACTGGTTTTTATTAAGATTTGCTCTCTACATCTTTTAACTAGGTTATTTCTCCCTCCCGTGAAACATAGGAATCAGAAATATATACGAGAGACTAAAATTTGCAAGCCCTGTTTTATTTATATTTCCAGTCTACAATAGAGTATGTGGACGAAAATAGCATCTTAACCTTTGACCTATCCCGTATGGTTTAACCTTTGACATGTATAATGACTTGACCTTTGACATGTCCTATGACTTGAATTTCGTCTTGTCTTATGACTTGACTTTTTGTCTTGTAAAATTGATCTGTGTTAGTTGATGTATACTACTGGTGCTAGAACGGCAGACAGAGCGAGAGCGGGGAAAATAACTCTCATTAAGTCATCTCTTATCAATAAGTTAACTCTTGAGAGAAAATCAGTTTTAAAGTACACTGAGAAAATACCGCTTTCAATGGACAAATCTCCGTGGTTTTTTTTTTTTTTTTAATTTCAGAGCACTAGATATTGTTGTATGTGTTTACTATGAAAGCGTGAAAAACAGCAAAACAAGAATAAGAAATACACAGTACTTTTGTATTTATGGATGAGAAACAAAAAAAAGACATATTTTAATGAAAATGTAGCATATGAGGAGCGAATGTACGATTTTGGTCTACGTGTTGATAATGTAGTGAGAATTATTTCCCTTCACTAGAATTATTTAAAAGAAGAAAAGTTTGTAAAACGATTTCTTTTTCTTTCTTCCTTTTAAAACAAATTTTCTAGACCTCAAAACTTTATAAACACAAAGTCATTGCATGTCTAACATTTAAAAGTATTAATTTCCAAATTCTCAATGAAACAATTGAAAAAATAACACAATTTTCCTCTTTCAAACGGATACATAATCATTGGAAACAGTGTGGAGTTTTTAACATACCATTCATCAAAGAGACATAGATGTCCTATTAGTGCAACGCTAGCCCGTTAAATAAGTCTGTGGACAAGAAGACGCCACAATCAACTGATTACTGAGTCGTTTACAAGCTGAACGTTTTCTTTATGTATATATATATTGCATTCAAAACGAATCAGAAAACAATTCAACTCAATTAATGTTTTTAAGTCCAATTATATCAACTGTAATTTATCCAATTTTCGTCTCTTTTTATCTAACTCACATTTAAATATTTAGTTATAATAATATAAGATAAAACGATTATATTATTCACGAATTAAGCCATACAATTTCTTTATCCGGCTCATCGTGTACTACGAGTTTCTGACGATAGCGCGGTCATTGAGAGTGTATATGGAATGACATACCTAGAGTGTACAGGGAATGTCTGATGATGACATAACTAGAATGTACAGGGAATGTCTGATGATGACATAACTAGAATGTACAGGGAATGTCTGATGATGACATACCTAGAGTGTACAGGGAATGTCTGATGATGACATAACTAGAATGTACAGGGAATGTCTGACGATGACATACCTAGAGTGTACAGGGAATGTCTGATGATGACATAACTAGAATGTACAGGGAATGTCTGACGATGACATACCTAGAGTGTACAGGGAATGTCTGATGATGACATAACTAGAATGTACAGGGAATGTCTGACGATGACATACCTAGAGTGTACAGGGAACGTCTGACGATGACATAACTAGAGTGTACAGGGAGTGTCTGATGATGACGTAACTATAGTGTACAGGGAGTGTCTGACGACGAACCGCATACTGAAGGTTTTTACATCGTCTTCGGGGTACCAACCCCCCCCCCCCCCCCCCCCCCCCCCCCCCCCCCCCCCCCCATCACCCGCTCTCACCCCTACCGCGTCCCCGAGGTCGAATAAACTGCATGTATTTAAGAAAAGTTACGGTTTTCTTTCGGTGATGCTTCAGACCAAGTCTGGTCGAAATCAACCCAGGTGTTTAGAAAGATTGGCATGGTTAATCAAAATTTAGCTAATTTCTTCTTTTGGGATTTTACAATCTATTTCCTTAAATTCCCCTTGCGGACATCATCCGTTGGCCCCATTGGGATCCTAAAGCTTTCAATCATTTCAGTTACGATTGCCCTCCTCACTCTTGCTCCAGATGAAATTTAGGGTAAGATATGTCCAGGCATGTGACTGTGAGAAGAATTTTAAATCCCTTATTCTTAAGTTCACCTCGCCTCTTGGCCCTACGGGATCGCAATACATCCAGTTATAAAACCTATGATTGCTCTCCCTGAGGATGTTTCATGCCGAATTTGATTGAAGTCTGTAAAGGCATTTAGGAGGGGAAGCATTCTTAAACAAAATTTCACGGTGGACGGCCCACGGCGTACGACGATGTACAAAACATGGTGACTATAGGTCATTCCCTTCGGATCCCATTATCTAATATCAATGCACAAAGATATTCAAAGATAAGAGACTGTTTTGAATATAAAGATCACTTACCTAAATCCATGTTTTTTCCACTGTACTAGAATCCTCAATGAACTTCTAGAAGTTAACACAGACTTTGGTCACAGACGATTATGTACAGGTTAGTTGCATGGCCCTGGTAAACAGCAGTCAGGCTTACGTTGTCCCAGTCGACAGTGGCGAGCTGGAGCTACTTCTCAACAAACGTTAATTGGGGCAGCATACACAACGAATTAAATATTAATGTCGAGATGTCTCTCCTTAAATTAAGAGAAACTACCGTTTGTATATCGAGGAAGGAAACCCGTTATAATTGATTTAGTGACAGTATTTGTTGTTTGGAGTTAGAATGGTGACATTGTGGCAGTGCCCCTCTCTTCCGTCCTCTCTCCAAACTCCTTTCTTATACTCATTGCTATTGTGTCCTAGACACAAAGACAATCTCAACTTCGATTTTTTTTTTCTCGGCAATTAGCTGGTGTCAAAGCAAAAACATCTCTGTACCAGCATCAACCATTACCTTGGAATCCTGAGGAAAAAAACACCGATTTTTTTTTTAGTTCCTCGTACGGGTCATTTTTATTCGTTAACAATCTCAAAGAAAGCGTTTCTTAACACTGGTATTTAGCATTGATTTTGTACGACGGATACGTGGAGATGCAGGGAATCATTTGTTAAGCCAGGAATGATACCGGTAATTCCGCACCATCAAGTTACGAAAATGACATCTATCCTGAAAACAGACGGTCACACATCAATGGGTATCGAATCCGTACCTGACGTACACGGATGAATACGTTCAGTTCTGGTGTTTGTTACTGTTTAACATGCACCATACATATTTAAACATGTTGTCAAAATCTCAGTGTCTCGGTATCAACTACCGGTGCGATCGACCCGTAATATCATATTCTTCATCGTAGTCTTTGTTCCGTCAGACCACAGGAATGTGATACACGTGGCTTGAAAGTTTGTTATGTAAAATTAACTTTCGATATCGACATGCTATCAGTCAGTCTGTTTCAGCTGTTCTAACCGCACAGGGACGGGGTAACTAGATATTTCGTATTGATACAGCGCCACAGCTCCGTCAGAATTTAATTGGCATTATGTAAATTAATAAGTTGAAAAGCTTTCGAATTGGGAGATATGTTGTATCCAAACAGTCCATTTATTAATGTGATGAAAATTCTTTTGGCGAGTCCATGACAAATGAATAGTATTTCCGAAAAAAAAAAACCCCGAGCACGATTGCCAATGCACCCACAGCTTTAAATGGAATATTACTGTCTTGTTCCTGCAACACGACGTAATTGTAACTATTTAAAGAGGTACCCATGAACAAACATTGTTTTACTTGTTTATCATCTGCTAACAGACTAGCCATCGGAATCACCTCGAATATTCTGTGGTAACTCGTTAAGCAATGTTGTACAAAAGACATACAAGTGAACATCGTCTTTCAATACGACACACTATTGTCAAGTTTAACGATTAAACAGCCGAACGCGGCTGTCTTTCTAGGACTCGTAAGTATACATATTCGAAAGGCGAGATAGAACATCAAATTCGGAAGAAATAGATGTTAAACTCTGTATGGTGAGGTCCTCAAACTCCATAATTCAATATAAACCCTAAAAGTTCAGTATTGGGTAATTTTAAAGACCGCCAAATACAACCGTACATTCTAATTCATGTAATTATTTGATAAGAGTTTTGACAGCACACGATGTTAGTTGATGTTTTCTGTGTAAACGGTGTTGACACACGTCAATAAAATTAACTCCCGTTGCGCGTGCATTACATATCAGGTTTATGTCATATAGTATCTTCAATTACAGAAACAGACTTATGATTCCAAAGCTTTACTTCACAAAGTTATTATTACAAACGAAGTAAATCTCCCAGTACTCCTCCATTGGCCTACAGTGACCACAGCTCGCGCTACCCGTTTACCTGACATTCACGTTAGTGGGAAATTGCTACCTTCTTAACGAGTTTACTTAACAATAAAACCATGCTTTTCTGTGCCAAGCATGCGCCGTTCTATTTCTTGATCATGCAGATGGTGGTATTTTGTTCTTCAAGAGAGAAACTGGCCTGTCACTCATTTCCACTGTCAACATTTGAAAAAGTAATTTTATCGTTGTTGTTATACCACATAACAGGTAGACGAAATTGTCATGTAAATAACGTAACGCGTATGTATTTAGATAACAAAGACGATTCAAAGACAGGATGTCCTTGAGACCAACTACTCTCTCCGACTAAGTATTCATGTCTACCCATCTTAAATGTTAATCACTTTAGAAATTAGACTTTTAGCGTGGTACAGATGATTATTAAAACCAAATGAAAAAATTCTAAAGTAGAAAACAAAACACTGAGGATAAATCAAGACAAAATCTATTCAATTGTCTTGAATGATTAGATTTCAGAAAGCAATTTCTTTCATGAAGAACAATAGGTAGATAATTTCCTGTTGTACTTCAATCGCTAGACTTCAAGTAATTTTGTCTTACCAATCATTTAATCAAAATGTACACACGGCGGTGCTTAAAAACAACGAGTTACTTAAACTCTGACAACGTTCAGCAGTATAAGAAAATTGCTTCAGAATTGCAATTCTGTCCTATTGTTATTAACGCAAGTAGACCTCGTTTGTTTGTCATTTCAAGCACATTGACATAAAACATTGCTACATCTTTATACGTGTTGAGGGGTAATTAGCCCTCCACACAGTAAAATGGAGGAAAAGCCCCACATGTCGACAAAAGAAAGAGATATTCTTGGTATCACTGACTTGAGTTGGTTGGTGATTTCGGTCATCTCGCATTTTGTCTCGTTTTGACTTTCGGTACGTGGCCGATTTTTAATCAATTATTATATATACATTTTGGTAATGAAGTTAATCTTCAAAATATACATGAAATGTAAACCCTTTCATGATATTTTTGCATTTAATCTCAGATTCTTTTCGCATTATTAATCTTAATTGATCTTGTATAATGACAACTTCCTTATTTAAGCAGCCTTCACTTGCACACTTTGATGAACCAACTGACTCGCAGTTATGATTGCTAATTTTAACATTTTTGTCGCGTAATAAATCTCTCCGCTATTGACATCCTTGTCAGTTTACATGTATGTGTCCCTCAGTTCGGGGAGTTTGATGTACTAAACTGGTAAAAGTCAAACGCCATGTTGATAGGTCCAATGTTTAAGTGTAGTGTATTTAGGCCCAAATAGATCTCTATTGGTCATTCCAATACTACAGTCTCGTCTGTAATCACCGCCGGTGTTGTCTGCAGTAACATTTGCCTCTGGGGAATCAGGAACACAATATCATTAATATTTAAAATCCAATTTCTAAATTCATGTCTCCTTATTGGTGTTCATCTCATCTTTTAATAACCTCATTCCTGTATCATACTGAGTAGAAGATTTTCGCTGTCCTGTCCACTTCGATCGAGGTCGACAGAGACGGTCCTGACGTCATCAGTGTCGGTGTACACAATATGTCGTTACGATTTGATTGAAAGGGTCGTTGTGGTTTTTTAATCACCATTGTGTGACAATGCTACGATATAGACTTACCGCTGTGTATTACTAACGTATGAATTGCCAACGGCACATGAATATTGTAATGTAAACCATTTGAGGTTATCTCCCCTTATAACAAGATAAAGTGTTTTAATGGTTGCTGTAGTTACAGGCACTGTCATGCTGTAAGCTGTATAAAGGCAAAAATCAGCATCAACGTGCTTCCTTATATTTTCTTTTTAACAGTTGGCATTCATATTGCGCATGAATGTCATATGAAGCAGTACAATGATTGATATAAGGGGCATGTTATCGTGGCTTGAAGGACGATGTTACGGCTGCTTCTATGGCATTATTAGAAAGTTAATACCTTTGAAATATGATGCGTGAGCTTTAAAAACGATAAAATTATACGGCCAAGAGATATGAAACGTTTGGTGGCTCTTTTTACACTATCGGCGGATGCTTGCATCATGTAGGCAATGCTGCATTGTTATTGTAATCGTCTGTCTAGCATTACACTGGTGTCAGCAACAATTTGTTTTAAAAACACGAAACTTGAAAAAACAATTTCCAAGGTGAAAGACATACAATTACCGCCGTCATCCTCCTTTACATGTACACCAAACAGCTTGTGTACCGCTCCACACCACTAGAGGGTGTTTTCAGTAGGACTTGCCACAAGGCCAATTACAGCGCTAACTGCTGGGTCTGGGAAGACTCATCTATTCGTGTTCAATACTTGACGCTGACGCGTCGGGTTTGTGGCGTTCCGGTGTGTAAATCTACACTGCTGTATACATTGTCTGTCATTCATCACACAGGGTATATAGTGAAATAGCTAGGAAAGGAATTCGTGTAGGTCTTCAGTTTGTTTTTTTTTCCAAAATGTAATGTATGTAACGTAATGTGTAATATTGTTAAATTATTGAACAGATATTGATCATACTAACCTAGGAGACGATTACTATACAATCGCTTGTTCTAGGGCACGTACCGAAAACGTTTATTGTACCAAAGAATATCGAGTGAATGTTGAGTAGCTACTTTTGATACAAATTAGGAATTCGATGCATTAGAGTCAAATAAGTGAATCAAACTGCATCATACAGCTGATTCGTCAGTGATGACAAAGGTCTAAATTTTGAAACCTAGAAGCCGACTGAGCAAAATCCAAAGTGATCGAAAGAAGTGCACTAGCCCTACAATTCAACCAATTCCGTAATTTTCATATATACCTGATCATTCTGAAAGAACCCCAAGTACAAGTGTATATTCTGAACTACATTAGTATAATCTGAACTACCTGTTTATATTCTGAACTACATTAGTATAATCTGAACTACCTGTTTATATTCTGAACTACATTAGTATAATCTGAACTACCTGTTTATATTCTGAACTACATTAGTATATTCTGAACTACCTGTTTATATTCTGAACTACATTAGTATAATCTGAACTACCTGTTTATATTCTGAACTACATTAGTATATTCTGAACTACCTGTATATATTCTGAACTACATTAGTATATTCTGAACTACATTTGTATATTCTGAACTACATTAGTATATTCTGAACTACCTGTTTATATTCTTAACTACATTAGTATATTCTGAACTACATTTGTATATTCTGAACTACATTAGTATATTCTGAACTTCATTTGTATATTCTGAACTACCTTTTTATATCCTGAACCCTGTTTTAATATTCTGAACTACCTGTATATATTCTGAACTACATTAGTATATTCTGAACTACCTGTTTATATTCTGAACCCTGCCATTGGGAAAATCTTGATAATTATTCTTGTTCTAGGTATGAAATAACTTAACACACAGGAACCATCTGGGAATATGCCTTCTATAGTGCAGTTGTACATGATGTGTATGACGAGATAGATTCTTAGTGGTTTTAAGTTCATACATGAAACATTTTCTATATATCTTCTGATTCACAATACATGATAAATGATATCTAGATTATAATGTAAATTTGAGATGTTTCTCATACTATTTTACATAATATTACGTCACTTGATTGACAGCAGCCATTCAGATCGATTCCATAAAAACGTCGGCTAAAGTAACTAATTAAAACACTCTCAGATATCCTAGGTTTTCCAGGCCTGGTTTGCTAATGATTGAAATCGCTATAAACATGCTGATTTTGTAGAATTGTGATTTTTGTGGGTCTAAATCACCAATTATCTGTCAAATGGTTATTTGTTAAACACTTACTGCTCTACTTCATAAGGACTGACCAAGGCAATTCCTGCAAATTTTTCAACGTATCCCAGTCTTTCATATCTTTTTGCCCTCCTCCAATTTTTTTATTTGAACTTTTTAAAAAGGGATACATTTAATCTTTTTTACTAAATAAAGATATACACACAGAATTTTATTAGATTAAGTATGCAAATTCCATTTGTCGCGGTCACGGTAGAAAAATTTGGATTATGTTTTAGATCAAACCCATTTGTTTCTGTCTAAACACCATACCTCGATAAAATATTGGCGGGAAAAATACCGATCTGTTACAATTTTGTAACCCAAAAGGGACAAATTTATCACGCGCGACTGCGCATGCTCCATCAGTTATCATTTATCTAGTAATAATATCGTTCAGCCCCCTCTATGCTTATGTGGTCAAATTGAAAACACCACTCATCAATTTCTTTCAGAATGTACCACGTGCGATGAAACTAGAAGACGGTATTAACATGCATTACCTTACAATATTACATGACATGATTTACTCTTTGGGAACGAGACATTATCTGTACAGGAAATCAATACAATATAGATATAGAACTGCACAATTAAAACAAATATATCATCGGATATAACATAACATAACATATATATTTTTTTTAATTTTACACGTACCAACCAACTCCCCAACCCTTCCTTCATTCCTTCCTTTCTCCTTATTTAAAACTTTATATCTGCCTTCTCCGTGTACAAACTTTTCCCCAACTCACCCCCTAAACTATCTGTCCGCCCTTCCTCTAGTGTAAAATATTCCTATATTATTTTCATTGTTAACTTGTCACTTATACACTGTCCATTTACAATGTAAATGCTGATTCATATAAGGTAATAGATTTACATAAGTGTCTTAAACACCTGGTTTTATTTTCCTTCTCGACCATATTCTATTATCTATAAAGTCGATGAAGCATTTTAATAAAACAAAGTTTAAGCTATTTTCCAAAACGCACGTTTTAAAAGTATTTGCACACATAGGGTGCACCCATGGATGCGAGATTGCCCTAAGCGGCTTCCATAATGAACAGGCAGGTTGTTTTGTTCAGCATACAACTACACGGTTTAGGACATGTAGAAAAACTTTATCGATTAGAAATATAAAAATGCAATATCGTCCTAATCCATAATGCATCGCCACTTTATACAGAATGGGTTGTAGAATGGTTGGTGGTGATGGGGTCGTCAACCTGGCAAGTTTTTAGCATTTTATAAATTATAAAATAATTAACTTCCCTGTAATCATATCAAATTCACGTTCTAAAACATCGTTGTATTTGAAATAACTATCATTGCTTTCCAAACAATTTCATATTTAAGATATTCTCTTCTGCATTTAAATAGCTTTACGTTATACCTAAATATAGATTAACGCTGAATAGTGGTGTTTACGGAGACACGGAGAGAAGGCGGAAGTACACACGTATCTAGATATAGATATGCTGACGAGTGCGGTATTTCACATTGTTGTGCAATTGTACACGGTATATATAGGGTAGATCCGCTGGAGTGGACACAGTAGTGGAGATATGGGGGTCGACACTGCGTCAAGGCAAATGCGTCGGTCAAAGGTATTCTAAGCTTACTTCGTCATGAGTCTGCTTTCTAGCAGCTCGTACTGAAACACTGGTCCTGGGATCGAACCATCCCATAGCAACCACGCGATCACACATCACGTGTGCTAGGTGGTGGGATGGGGAGTCCCGGGGCCCCCAGGTTCAATGACATCACGTGGAATGGCCTTGATAATCAATGCATACCATTTCCGTGGAGTCAGTCTGGGGGATAAATTTCGTCATGAGATTGAAGATGAGAAGATCGACGCTACAGGTATAGGGATGGTAGGTATATTGTCGACTCTGGGATGGTATATAGTCGACACAAGGACGGTATATGGTCGACTCAAACGATATCGCGTAGACACAAGGATGGTATATGACCGACACAGGGACGGTAAAAAATGGGTGAGTATTATCGATATAAAAATTATTTCCTAAAAATTAAGCGATTTCAATAAAAATAGTAAACATAGTAACAGTCAGGCATCAACTGTTTCTAGCTAGTGTAAGTCTATAGAACGTCATACAGATTTATAGTTGGAAAGACGTAGATTTTCGTACACCCTGAGGTCACTGATCAGAAAAAAAATCCTGATACATCTTACCAAAAGTTTAAGCAACGATTTTTTAAAAACTCATTTTGAGTCAAAATCAATTTAACACTAAATTAAAGAAACAGAGATATCGGGATCGACAAACATATTTACATAACAATTACCGTATTTTCATTGTAATTTTTATGCCATTTTCTATCTCTTTGTAAATTTGATGTCCGAAATTTAGTAGTGAAAATCGTTTCCCATTGCAGTCTTTAAATCTTTTATTTTAAAACAAATTAAGCAATTTTAACTGATTTTTATCTGGGGTGAACACTCGCAAATAATGACGTCACAATACGACGCCCCCTTGACATGTATACCATGTGAAGATCATGTGACATTATTGTACACCTCAGAATGCCGTTTCAGACTGGCACTTTTAAATCAATTGGATCACTGTTGATAATTCACAATCTATTTAAGATAACATCAGTTTATTTCTGGTCGAGGACCAGATTCCTGTATACCTGTCTCACATTAAACAATTATATTAATTTTTCAGATACTTCCTTTAATATTTATTCGTTGCTTTATAATTAAAGAAAAGTTATTTGTATGTGAGTAAGCAACATTTTCTGACAGTTCATTACAAATCGGCACTGTTCTGATTGAAATTTCTTTCTGAACTTATCATCATATTTACTTAGATTATATTTAAGTGTGTCCTCTGTCACTGCGGAGATCAGCTGTACCTGCCATAGACACCCGTTCTCACATGACCCTGACTGTGGATGTCCCTGCCATAGACACCCGTTCTCACATGACCCTGACTGTGGATGTCCCTGCCATAGACACCCGTTCTCACATGACCCTGACTATGGATGTCCCCGCCATAGACACCCGTTCTCACATGACCCTGACTATGGATGTCCCCGCCATAGACACCCGTTCTCACATGACCCTGACTATGGATGTCCCCGCCATAGACACCCGTTCTCACATGACCCTGACTATGGATGTCCCCGCCATAGACACCCGTTCTCACATGACCCTGACTGTGGATGTCCCCGCCATAGACACCCCTTCTCACATGACCCTGACTGTGGATGTCCCCGCCATAGACACCCGTTCTCACATGACCCTGACTGTGGATGTCCCCGCCATAGACACCCGTTCTCACATGACCCTGACTGTGGATGTCCCCGCCATAGACACCCGTTCTCACATGACCCTGACTATGGATGTCCCCGCCATAGACACCCGTTCTCACATGACCCTGACTATGGATGTCCCCGCCATAGACACCCGTTCTCACAGGACCCTGACTTTGGATGTCCCCGCCATAGACACCCGTTCTCACATGACCCTGACTATGGATGTCCCCGCCATAGACACCCGTTCTCACATGACCCTGACTATGGATGTCCCCGCCATAGACACCCGTTCTCACATGACCCTGACTATGGATGTCCCCGCCATAGACACCCGTTCTCACATGACCCTGACTATGGATGTCCCCGCCATAGACACCCGTTCTCACATGACCCTGACTATGGATGTCCCCGCCATAGACACCCCTTCTCACATGACCCTGACTATGGATGTCCCTGCCATAGACACCCGCCACATGACCCTGACTATGGATGTCCCCGCCATAGACACCCCTTCTCACATGACCCTGACTGTGGATGTCCCCGCCATAGACACCCGTTCTCACATGACCCTGACTGTGGATGTCCCCGCCATAGACACCCGTTCTCACATGACCCTGACTGTGGATGTCCCCGCCATAGACACCCGTTCTCACATGACCCTGACTATGGATGTCCCCGCCATAGACACCCGTTCTCACATGACCCTGACTTTGGATGTCCCCGCCATAGACACCCCTTCTCACATGACCCTGACTATGGATGTCCCCGCCATAGACACCCGTTCTCACATGACCCTGACTTTGGATGTCCCCGCCATAGACACCCGTTCTCACATGACCCTGACTATGGATGTCCCCGCCATAGACACCCGTTCTCACATGACCCTGACTATGGATGTCCCCGCCATAGACACCCGTTCTCACATGACCCTGACTATGGATGTCCCCGCCATAGACACCCGTTCTCACATGACCCTGACTATGGATGTCCCCGCCATAGACACCCCTTCTCACATGACCCTGACTATGGATGTCCCTGCCATAGACACCCGTTCTCACATGACCCTGACTATGGATGTCCCCGCCATAGACACCCCTTCTCACATGACCCTGACTGTGGATGTCCCCGCCATAGACACCCGTTCTCACATGACCCTGACTGTGGATGTCCCCGCCATAGACACCCGTTCTCACATGACCCTGACTGTGGATGTCCCCGCCATAGACACCCGTTCTCACATGACCCTGACTATGGATGTCCCCGCCATAGACACCCGTTCTCACATGACCCTGACTTTGGATGTCCCCGCCATAGACACCCCTTCTCACATGACCCTGACTATGGATGTCCCCGCCATAGACACCCGTTCTCACATGACCCTGACTTTGGATGTCCCCGCCATAGACACCCGTTCTCACATGACCCTGACTATGGATGTCCCCGCCATAGACACCCGTTCTCACATGAGCCTGGCTGTGGATGTCCCAACTAAAGAAACCCCGTTCTCACATGACCCTGACTGTGGATGTCCCCGCCATAGACATCCGTTCTCACATGACTCTGACTATGAATGTCCCAACCATAGACACCCGTTCTCACATAGCCTGTCTGTGGTTGTCCCAACCATAGAACCCCGTTCTCACATGACCCTGACTATGGATGTCCCCGCCATAGACACCCGTTCTCACATGACCCTGACTATGGATGTCCCCGCCATAGACACCCGTTCTCACATGAGCCTGGCTGTGGATGTCCCAACTAAAGAAACCCCGTTCTCACATGACCCTGACTGTGGATGTCCCCGCCATAGACATCCGTTCTCATACGACCCTGATCGTAGATGTCCCTACCAAGTTTTTTCACTGAATCGCTGAGTTATACAAAGGGAAGTAACTCTTGACCGGGACATATAAATACTGAACGTCAGAATGACATGATCCTGGGATTTGATGTCACGATACATACCAGTTCTCGTTTGACCCTCGGGTCTACTTTATTATATCACACATTTAGAATTGACTACGGCTGATGTTTCAGTCTCGCGAGGGAAAGTTAATTCCTCGCTCCTCTGGGATTGTTTAAGTGCAATGCATTTGTAAAACAAAATGTCGAGTGTACAGGTCGCCTCACTCAACCTTAGCTAATAGGAATATCCTTTAGTCGAGCTGTAAAGTGTCGGGCGCAGACGGTATTTTTATACTTAATGTACTGATATCAATATTCTGCCTCTTCTACTCCGGCCGAGCACGCAATATAACGGTATCGTTGTTAAAGCCCATAAACCGACAAAATTGCAGCTTATGTCCGACTTACAATCATTCTGATTGTATTTCCCAAATAGGAAAATACACAGGAACATAAATTCAGACATGAAAGCATCAAATTAAGTAACCCATATGTATTTTTAAGCGTCAAAAATCACTCAAATATTCCTACTGCTCTGATGAAAACCCGAGACAACAATACATAAAATATCGGTAACATGTCAAACTATTTGTCAATATTGACCGAACCGTAATCCTTATCAACATAGAACGTAACCCATGTATATAATGTTGTGTTCCATGTATATAATGTTGTGTAATGCCGTAACACCCCAATCAAACTCTCGTTTATAGTGAGTAAACCTACGATAGAAACACGGTAGTACCGTCCATTGGGCTACTTGGTAGTTTATTTATATGGAAAGTGTTGCAAGTGATCATTTCATTTTTAAAAAGTGATTTTTAATTGATAAATGTTTCAGAATAACAAAAAACTTGTTAATACCAACTATCATATATATATGTACGTGATTGTGTCTCTTACACACTTTGATAGTGATTGGGGCATCCCCACCACCACCCTCCCCCGACAAGCCCAACCCCCTTGGATTTGTGATTGAAGCATCCCCACCACCACCTGTCCACGACAAACCCAACCCCTTGGATTTGTGATAGAAGTATCCCCATCACCACCCCTCCCCGACAAACCCAACCCCCTCGGATTTGTAATTGAATCATCCCCAACCCCTCCCTCCCCGACAAACCCAACCCCCTTGAATTTGTGATTGAAGCATCCCCACCACCACCTGTCCACGACAAGCCCAACCCCCTTGGATTTGTGATTGAATCATCCCCACCACCACCTGTCCACGACAAGCCCAACCCCCTTGGATTTGTGATTGAATCATCCCCACCACCACCCTCCCCTGACAAGCCCAACCCCTTGGATTTGTGAATGAATCATCCCCACCACCACCTATCCACGACAACCCAACCCCCTTGGATTTGTGATTGAATCATCCCCACCACCTTTCTCCCCCGACAAGCCCAACCCCCTGGGATTTGTGATTAAAGCATCCCCACCACCACCCTCCCCTGACAAGCCCAACCCCTTGGATTTGTGATTGAAGCATCCCCACCACCACCTGTCCACGACAAGCCCAACCCCCTTGGATTTGTGATTGAATCATCCCCACCACCACCTGTCCACGACAAGCCCAACCCCCTTGGATTTGTGATTGAATCATCCCCACCACCACCCTCCCCTGACAAGCCCAACCCCTTGGATTTGTGAATGAATCATCCCCACCACCACCTATCCACGACAACCCAACCCCCTTGGATTTGTGATTGAATCATCCCCACCACCTTTCTCCCCCGACAAGCCCAACCCCCTTGGATTTGTGATTGAATCATCCCCACCACCTTTCTCCCCCGACAAGCCCAACCCCCTGGGATTTGTGATTAAAGCGTCCCCACCACCACCTGTCCACGACAAGCCCAACCCCCTTGGATTTGTGATTGAATCATCCCCCCACCTTTCTCCCCCGACAAGCCCAACCCCCTTGGATTTGTGATTGAATCATCCCCACCACCTTTCTCCCCGACAAACCCAACCCCCTTGGATTTGTGATTGAATCATCCCCACCACCTTTCTCCCCCGACAAGCCCAACCCCCTGGGATTTGTGATTAAAGCATCCCCACCACCTTTCTCCCCCGACAAGCCCAACCCCCTGGGATTTGTGATTAAAGCATCCCCACCACCTTTCTCCCCCGACAAGCCCAACCCCCTGGGATTACCACCACCCTTTCTCGGCAAGCCCCTTAGATTTGTGATTACAATTTGATTTGAAAATTTCAATGTCTTAATGAAGATCTTCTATAGCAGCTTTCATTTTATTCGCCAATGGAAGTGACCGTTTTCATGGTGACGAGTTTTTGTCATTGAATAGGATCAATAGAGATGTATTATACTAATATGACGTGTTCTTTTGTAGTGTGTCCGGCTCTGATATAATCTTCCAGATATTTATGTCTGAGTAAGGTTATATAACCCTTCCTTTCAGATTACATCGCCTACACAAAGGTACATACCAAACAACACTAAAAAGGCATGTTTTGTCACGGTATGCCCAGGGGCCCCACGAACCAGGCAAAAATTCAGACTGACCAATAGTCAAGGTAAGCTGTTATCGATTGAACAGATGACTACAAAGAGTTTTACCGGACAATTGGACACGGTGACAGGTCCGCCCGCAGTTTCACTAATTGGCGTGGTAATATTTCATGTACATGACGTAACACCGTGTACTGTTCAACAAGCTGCCTGACAACTAGCACTGTTTACCTGTCCGTACAGACGTATACCTGGACACAAGAACGGCATTACACTCCGCTAAAATTTCGTGATTTCTTAACGATGTCGTCTAGCAGCAGGTATGTACACATTATAACATTTGCAATAGAAAGTTTTAAAAATCATAAATCACATCCAGTCCAGCTCACTCACTGATAAACAAGATGAGATGACGGTATAGTGTAAGTAGATTTGCATATGTGTGACAACGATACCATAGTTATTTTCTACGATGTTCACAAGTCACGAAACTCGTAAAGCACGCGTAAAAAATGCACAATGTACATTTGTACCAGGCATGTATACTGCATTCACTTCGTACGCTACATCCCGAACTTAGAGATATTACCATGAATGTTATGGAAGGCGTACAATATGTCCTCTGTTGTAATTTTTCGTTATTGCAAAATTTTCAATATTTTGCATCATCGATATTTAAAAAAGTGATCAATACAATGCTGAAAACATCTGTCAAATTTAACCTTGTTTGATTTATATAAAATCTAAAACATCCGAAAATTATTGATTGATTGCCAGGTTTTCCGTCTCCGTGACTCCTCCCGTGTTCGGGTATTGTCTCACCGACGAACGTCAGTATTCTGGCATTGTTTATTAAACATATCTTTTAGATATCTATGTATAGATCGGTCGGTATGTTGCACTTGAAATGGTACAGGTATCATAGCGCAAAATATGCATGTGTACCTCTATATAGCAGCACTAGGTAACATTACTTAATTAGTAAATGTTTCTATATAGATATATGGTAAGATATGTATATAACATGAATAACATTGTCAGTTTTCTACCATATGTTTAGTTCGAATGTAACTGAGACCAATTTCTTGTTACACGGTATTACATAACGTATTCAGATGTGTATATACCATTTGTGGTAAGTTTTAAGGAAAAAGTTATTTTCATTTCAAATTACCACGATCAACCTATCTGATAGTAAAGTCGAAAACGCATTAAAGAATTAAATGAGGTAAAATATTAAATGAAAACAATAAATAACCTGTTGATCATTATTTCTAAATCGTACCCTTACACGTGTGTTTCGGCCTAAGTTATGTGTCCACCCCAATATGCTTACTACTAGTAACTGCCATTGGTAAAATGTGGCCTTGTTTATGTGGAACAGAGATTACTACGCCGACAATTCATCTACCGATGAGGATGAATGCATCCGCTCACGTGTTGGAAGTCACGTGATAAAGAACCAGGGACTACATGGCTGGACAAAATGGCGCTGCAACCTGAATGATCAGCTTATTCACGTGATGGCTAATCGCCGAAACCTATTACGCCAACAGTCCAAAGACCCTAACCTTCTCATCAATGGACGGTTCCTGGAGAGCATGACGGAACCGGAAGTACTAATGGAACGGTAAGGGCGTGTCCGCATTAGTTTAGCACTGGAATGTAGAACTTTGCAAATGTTGCTATAGCGGGAATTGATACAGTAATATCAAGAATATCCATCTGAAATGAAAAATATTTTTGTCGTTTCAGGCGCCTTTCCGACTTTGTGCTGAGTCGAGCTGTCCAAGACAAACGTGTTGATGGAGATCGGTTGATGCTTCACCCGGAAGCTTTTTTAAGCTTCGGAATCCCTCGAGTTCGTCTCCATGGATCTGACTCCCATCAGTCTTCGGGACGAACGACACCGTCTGACGACACTTTAGAGTCTAGGCCACGGCGCTATGTAACTTACAGCGACGAATATTTGCTGCACGGTTAGTTTCAGTAAACGTGCACCAGGGCGACCATATTGGACTATAACAGCAGGACTATTCTCCTCGATTCCAGACTAATATAATTTCCATCTGGGACTAAAGATGAACGTGTTTCTGTATAGGGAGCACTGCGTTAGGATGATATAGTAGTCCATAATTTTATACTTGCCCTGCAAACATGTCCACGGACGATTTTCTGAATCACTTTCGATCCTAGTAAAAACATATTTGTTGTCACGTCCTGAACGCGTCTCCAAACGGCTACCGACGGCAGCATTCGCAATTTTGACATTATGCAACACGAAGGATTCATAACGTGTAATCAACAGTGCCACACGGAACTGTTAAGGGTCTACAGACTGTGTCCGTCCATTATATAAGTCCCATGCCCACAGGACGGCTCATTCTATAGTGCCCGCCTCTATCAGGAGAGACTAAATCCTGTTCATACAACTATATTTGTGTGTATATATATATTCATTATTTTTTATTGTCGTTTTCAATTTCTCATTCATGTATTATTGAGTTTATTAGTTTTTATAAAAAAATCAATGTTTCAATAAAAAATCAATATTACTTGGCGTTTGTTAAATTTCGCCTAAAGGATGCTCCACCAAATGTTAGGTCAGCCAAACCCATTGGCACTCTTATATTAGTTTTCTCAAAATACAAAATATTGAGATGATTGTATCAAACACAAGTTTTCATACCTTACACATTTTTTCTCTCAAAATATCGAGAAAAAAAACCATCGTAAAATGGAACAATATTTGTTTAAAAATGATTAAAATTGTCGAATCAACTTGCTGATTAGGAATTTGGATTTAACATCTTACGAGAATAAAGCCTTCCAAAGCAAGATTAAACGAGAAAGAATGAAGTAATACTTCGCAAAGCAAAGAAACATGCATACACGAAAATCTGATTTGTAGAAATTCTGGCCAAAAGCTGCGAATGTGTATAGGTAAGGACAAAAACTGGCAAGGACATTCAGTCCGTCCGTCTGTCCATGCGTCTGCGAATGTTTGACAGCATCCTAGCAACTTCATTCCTTGAGAGATCCTTATGAAACTTCATACATGTTCACGGTTCAGGGCTGTTGGGTCATGACTGTTGTCACCATTACTATTTTTAGAAAATCTTGATCAGCTTCAGCTAGAGGCTACATTCTTCAAGGGAATTTCGACCAATTCTCGCACTCTTACAGATGACCATGACAAATTAATACATGTATACACATTGGCGAAGAAACTTTTGTGATAATGTAATATTGATATTTTTGCAATGTTCAATTAAAATCGGTTACAAATAATTTGTTTACTTGTTTCCAAATAAACACAAAACAGCACCACCGCCATCCTCCTCCTCTTCCTCCTCCTCCTCCTCATCATCATCAACAGTGTAATAGCTGAAAGATTATGTAGAGTTCGGTAGGAACACCTATTTCTTTGGCAACCATTGACTCTGTATGATTGGTGTCCGCTCAAGAAAATGCCAAAGTAGGATACCAATAAAATCTTACTTCAAACAATGTTACCAAGCAGTGAACATCGAACATCTTATTGTAGCAAACTATGTGAAATATTATAAAACGTTTCTCAAAGTATGTACATAATATATCGTTGCATGTTAAAAAATAAGAGTTATCTCCCTTGAAATATCTGGTCGTCAAAAAGTATCAGCATTGCAATTCAAAAGATTGAATTTTACTTAATATTATTAGGATTTTGTCATGCACGCCAGTTCATATTCCACTGGTTTAAATATGGCACTTGTCTTCTATAATCGTAAATTTATCAGGAAGATATTAGACTTCAAATTGCAATGTCATAACGATAAGCGGGGAAAAGCAGAGGAATGCAATGCAAAGTTCTCTTAATGATAAAAAAATTGAACAGAAAAAGCGATAATAATCCTTAACTGCCAAAACCAAGATGGTTGCCTGTCAGCCATTTTTGTTTTTCTTATTAGTCCCAAAATCAAAAAGGCGCTACAACGGACCAAGGGGAATCTATATATGGAATTTGAAAGAAACTGTACAGTACTTCTCAAGATATAGCGATGACAATCTTTATTAGGCGAAATCCAAGATGACTGTGTGTCAAGCATTTTGCTTTTCTGGCACAACAAATGACAAAGAGGAACATGTGAAATTCGAGAGCGATCAATCGCTTTCCATGAAATAGCGATAACAAACTTCATTAAAAAATTGAAGATGACCGCTTGTCGATGATATTGTGTTTCTGATCAGACCCAAAATCAAACAGACACAACTAGGGATCCCGGAGAACTACTTCTCAAGAAATAGTGATAACAAAATGTTATTACGAAGAGACGACAAATGATGATGGTGGGCTAAAAATCTAACAGAAAAAAATATCATTTTATTTTCTGATGAAAAATGTATATGTTAATAATGAGATCTGATACTTATCTTATTCATAATAACTTTAACGAATATGCATAAGTTTGTTATAAAACTGTTGCAATATATGTATATGTCGCTTTCCTGGACGTGTTGTGTTTGCTCGAGTTATCTCCCTTCTATCTAAAAACCAACCCAGAAACAAACGATAGAATCCGTTTTATATGTATTAAATAGATATAAATCGTTGACTAAATCATACAAAACATGATTTCGTACACGCTATGGTACTATGAAGCTCCAGTTAACAGTCCCAGTAAAACACACCCCAAGTCCCTCCCTTTTTTTACCTACGTTGTGCGTATTTTCGGGGAGTTGGTGCTGCCATTGTGTTTGGTAGTAATTTGTGGGAGAGTGTGTGATTGGGTATCAGATATCAGTAGTCTGTGATACTGAAGACGTATCGAAAAGCCCCCAAGTATAACATGTAGTTATATTTACTTGTATAGTGCACATCGGTAAAGTTTTCATAAGTAATAGTTTTTTTTCGGTCGTTATGTTCACTTGAATCATTGTCTAATTCTCATAAGAACATCTAATTGTCCTTTATCCCTTTTTTATTTTTAAAGATTTTTTTCTATGTGTTATGAAAGACAACCGAGCGTACACTATAATATTTTTATATGAGGACAATACAAAAAATGTAGAATAACTTCAAGATAAGACGTTAAGTTGATTCAAGGGAGGTAACTCTTGAACGCCTACATCGTGAATGAGATAGGATTGACTAGTTCTTGGTACAAAGACATGTCTTTGATAAACATAGACTTGCACATTGCAAGACATGAATAATAAATGTAAACATGATGTATACATTGTACATACCTTGAAACAAATAATATTATCATAGTGGTTCCATGCCATACTTCCCAATTTCCCGAAACGCCCAATATTTCTAACTATTAAGAAACACGAGAAGTGCAATTGCAACAACCGAGAGATACGGTATTATTAATATATCATAAATAACTTGGTTAAATATTTTATAACTAATATCTTTATATTACAATAGTCCAGGAAATGTGCAGTTTTAGTAATTGAAACAAATGTGGATCCCCGTGACAATCGCATGTTAAATCGTTTGCCGTCCATAACAGTAAATACAAAGTAATTTGGACAATTCCGAGTAGAATTTCTACGTACATGTACATAAGTCTGTAAATCTGTATTGTCAACAGGGAATACCGGAGTTTGGGGAGTATCATGTCGACGTAATATGTTATAGAAAGATATTTTTATAGGATTGTATTTCCTAGGACAAAATTCAAAACTTTAACATAGGTCAATATGTGAGGGACTACATCCATATTTTTAAATCGGCAACATATCAGAAAATCCATAGAGTTACTGACCATAAGCGTGGTGTACACTTAGTTTAGAAACGATGATCGTAAGTAATGAGTGCAGTTACCCTGTCAAAAAATAAACGTGTCGACAAATATAGGAGTAGCTTTAATCATGTGAACAGTTAAGCCTGTCTACACAATGAGAGTTAACGTTAACTGCGAGTGCAGTTAAATTTTTCTGTACAAGAATATTAAACCTGTCTATACAAGTACACATTAACCTGTCTATACGAATACACTTTAACCTGCCTATACGCGTACAGTTTAACCTGTCTATACGAATACACTTTAACCTGTCTATACGAGTACACTTTAACCTGTCTATACGAGTACACTTTAACCTGTCTATACGCGTACAGTTTAACCTGTCTATACGAGTACACTTTAACCTGTCTATACGAGTACACTTTAACCTGTCTATACGAGTACAGTTTAACCTGTCTATACGAATACACTTTAACCTGTCTATACGAGTACACTTTAACCTGTCTATACGAGTATAGTTTAACCTGTGTATACGAGTACACTTTAACCTCTTTATACGAGTACAGTTTAACCTGTCTATACGAGTACACTTTAACCTGTCTATACGAGCAAAGTTTAACCTGTCTATACGAGTACAATTTAACCTGTCTATACGAGTACACTTTAACCTGTCTATACGAGTACACTTTAACCTGTCTATACGAGTACACTTTAACCTGTCTATACGAGTACAGTTTAACCTGTCTATACGAGTACAGTTTAACCTGTCTATACGAGTATACGAGTACAATTTAACCTGTCTATACGAGTACACTTTAACCTCTTTATACGAGTACAGTTTAACCTGTCTATACGAGTACACTTTAACCTGTCTATACGAGTACAGTTTAACCTGTCTATACGAGTACACTTTAACCTGTATATACGAGTACACTTTAACCTGTCTATACGAGTACATTTTAACCTGTCTATACGAGTACACTTTAACCTGTCTAAATGAGTACACTTTAACCTGTCTATACGAGTACACTTTAACCTGTCTAAATGAGTACACTTTAACCTGTCTATACGAGTACAGTTCAATTCTTATATAGAAGCCCGTGTGTAACATTAGCGAGTTTTACAGTACAGTTACAATTAAATATATCTTTACAGGGCGTTTCTGAAAGGAATTCACATAAACACTAAGCTTGTTTTCCCATCCCATACTATCATAGGTATGTGTTAAATTGCTGAATATTGAATAAAATATTGTTTTAATTTAAGTGATTCTACTTTTAATGCGAGTGTAGTTCTACAAGCAAGCTAGTTATAGCAATCCTAGTGAATTTCTAAACTTCTTGCAATAATACTAAACTTCGAATTAGAAACTGTATCTAGATATGAACGACGTATCTAAACTTAGTTTTGATGAATATTGATAATATTTTTATAGGTACAAAGCCAGTTCAGTTTATGCAGGTTCTGATTCCCGCATGCGAGTCCCGTGATATAGGCCTATATAACAATACACAAATATTGAAACAGACTATAACGCACCTTTGGCTCGGTGTGTATATGGGGTGCTTGGATTTTCGGCGGAAAGTAGCGTCTGCTTGTAAAAGGCTAACGGAGTAAGTTGGAATCAGAGGGATGTACCCGTGGTCAAATTTGTGCTAAGAGTGATCGAAAATGGATCTCAAAGTGTCTTTGATTTTCCTGGTTCCTTTAGCGGGATGGGTCATCACAACTGCAAACTGTCAAGGTAAGGAAAAGTTGGTTACATTTACAACGTTGGTCTAATAACACCTGTAGAAAAACCTCACCCGGTGTGATTTAAAAGATTATTCGTTCATTGCAGCTTATTCATGCATTTTGAATACCGTCAGCTGTTGATGATTAAAAATAGAATGGTGACAATATTTACAACATATTTGGGCACATGTTGGATTCCGGAACAAGATAGTTCAATATTATATGTAACACCTGTTCACACCTGTTGATTGGGATTTGACACAGGCGAGCGACATTATGTCACCACAACCGATTAATATCTCTTGTATCTAGTTAAATATTGATCCAGATTAGGTAGGTTGGCATAGATTTCTTCCTAAGCAGTATAATTCTATTTTTGTTGAACAGTGTGCCATTTTCTTCAGCCGTGTAAAACATTAACAAAACTTGAGAAAATTAACAGGAACAGTTGAATGATGGCCACCCATTCTACGACACGATATTAAATATTAAAGACATATATTAAAAAGGAAGGAATTTGACTTTTATTACTCAAGTGTTGACCTAATAAGATTTTATCTTAGATATTTGAGCAAAGTATTATTCGGTCGGTGTTGAGAGTGTGGTTAGCATAGATCACAGGTATAAAAATGTCTTTTCCTCAGCATTTATAAAATATGGGCAGGAGACCAAGTTCTAGACGAAAACAAATTTACATTTAAGTGTTGTAGGCTGTGTGTATAAATACCACAGATTGCCTGTATAAGAAAGCTTTTCTTGTATAACTAGAA